TATATATATATATCCACCATAAACACGACAGGGCTACTGTCGGAGTTTTTAAGTATTTATCCGAGGTTTCTACCCGATTCCTTAGGGACAAATACTCGAATTTCGGTGGTGCCACTTATTATAAGATAGCACCACATCAATTCTTGAAGGTCTTCCTGAGTCCGTCTTTTTCGATGGGAACGATTTGTCTCCTGAACTGGGCTCCGGTGACTAACATCTTTGGAGTGGCCAGGGTCAGAAGCAGTGAAATTCACGTTCTCGTCGAGCTGCCTCAGGTCGACAGTAGAACAAGATTTTGTTTTTGGTTCTTACTTTGTCTTGTTCTCATTTTTTTGCTCTTTTTAAGCCAACAGCACGTGGCGTTCTCAAACGGTCACCCATCCAAGTTTGCACCACGCCCGATGCTGCTTAACTTCGGTGATCGTACGGGAACCGGTGTGACCAGCACGCTATGGCCGTTGGCTTTATTATTATTATTATTATTATTATTATTATTATTATTATTATTATTCACTAAAAATAATGGATTTAACAAAAAAAAGTAAGAAATATATATTTTTTCATTTAAAATTATCAAATGGATGAAAGATATCGATTTCGATGAATCGATTAATCGATCGATATCGATTATTTAAAATCCTTACTGGTCGATTTTATTAAATCGTTTGAAAAACAAAACGTCGAAAGTTTTACGAAAAAGAAACCACTAAAAAATAAATTGTAATGATAAACAATCGATAATATACAGAAACAAACAAACAAAAGAAAATTTTTTCAACTATTGTTGTTGTTGTTGTTGTTTTTAAAAACGTGTCACGTGACACGAAATAATAGTTTCCCATAATACGTCACGCGTGATTATTAAAAACAAAAAAAATTTCAATAATTTTTCGTATCGTATTATTGAAAATACCTCATCGCGATCTAATAAATTTAATAATATTAATAATAATTAATAAATAAACTATTTATTATTAATGAATAAACAAGGAGAAATAATTATATTAGTGATAACAATAATAATAATAATAATAATAATAATAATAATAATAATAATAATAATAAAAGAGTTGAAGGATTTCAGTATAGATTCTTTCAAACAAACTCAAAAGTATTTTCGAATGGTTGGATACAAACAAATCCGGAGACAAAATATTAAGAAAATGGTTGAATAATAATAATAATAATAATTAATAATTAATAATAATGATAATGTTAATAATAAAGGTCTTTTAGGTTTCGTTATAAGAGAATTTTAACGATTTCGAAAAGGGAAAATAAATTTTTTTTGTTTTGTTTTTTGTTTTGCACAGAAACGTGTTTGTTTTATTTTTGTACAAATAATTTAAATTTTGTTTACGCGGGAAAAAATAAATAAATGGGATTTGATGGTGGTGGTGAAAAAAGGCGGGGAGAGGGGAGGGGGTGATGATGAAAACGAAATTAAATTTGTTTTTTTTTTTTTTTTTTTACTTTTTCCATTCACGTGCCGTAATGTAATTTATTTACTTTTTTTTTTCTTCATCCTCGTCACCATTCTAAAAATTATCACCCAATTACGAATTCTTGTGGCAACTCAAAAAAATTGAGAAAAATAAAAATTAGAGAGAGAGAGAGAGAGAAAGAGAGAGATGATCGAGTGGGGGCAGGAAAATTAAAAATTTCGAAAGGCGGCCTATTATTTTATGAAATTTTATTTTGTAGGTTATTTAATTCGTGTCCCTGAAAGCTTTTATTTTTTATCCACCATGTTTTGTGTTTTTATTTGTTTACTTCACACCGAATTAATTTTTATGTAAATTTTTTTTTTTTTTTTTTTCACATTTTGTAATTTTTAAAATCATTTTAAATTATAATAACAATAAAATAAATAAAATTAAATCACTGTTAATATTTAATAATAAAAATTTTTAACAGGTAAACAAAAGTTTAAATAAAAATTTATTATTATTATTATTAACCTGAATTATATTGAAAATCTTATAATAAAATAAATAAGTGTATGAGGAAAGGAAATTTTTTCTCTCGTTCAAATGATTTCAGATAGTTTATTATTATTATTATTATTTTCTAAAAGATATATAATATATATGTGTTTAAAAATGTATTTTTGTAATAAATCACATAAAAAAACCTGAATACCCTAAGAAAATGGATTAAAGTGTTAAGCATGAATGAAAAGAATAAAAAGTTAGAATTGAAAAAGAATATGAAAAAGTTTTAAAAAGAAAATTCAATGAAAATAAAAAAAGAAGAGAGAGAGAGAGAGAGAGAGAGAGAGAAAAAACAATAATTTTTCTTTTTTCATGCAGACTCTTTGGTTATTTTTTTTAAAAATATAGTTTGAGAAAAGGTATTAAGCATCAAAAATAAATTTTTAATAAAAAGTTTTTCAACGATAAAATCGATAATTTATTATTAATGAAAAAATTTTTCAGGTTTTTGAATTTTAATCATTCGATTATGATTTATTATTTTAAAAAAAAAAAAAAAAAAAATGAATAAAATGATGATCTTCAAAATTGTTTTCATGATGATAATAATAATAAGTAAACTATAGACAAGAAACTAAATATTATGTTTCAATTATGAAATATCTCATAATAATTTTATCGAGAAAAGGAAAAGCAATTTAAAATTAACATAAAATATAAATGAAACTTAAGTTTGTTGAGAAACCACAAGCATTACTAATGCACTAAAAAACCCTTAAAAATGATTTTAAGATTATAATTATTTAAAACAATATGTATGTATATATAATATAGTGACTTTTACTTTTGATTTTGAATCATAATATGATATGAAAAATATAAGTTATGAATATTATTTATTTGGTAAAAGAAAAATTTCATTTTGAATCACTCAAAAAACAAAGAATAAAAAGAAGAAATTTAATATTAAATTTGTTCGATTTTAAAAAGTAATTTAAACTAAATTTCCCATGCTTGAAAAATATTTGTAGAAAAATTTAACGAATGTAATAATGTGTTGTTACGAACGGTTGACGCATTTTTTTGTCATAAAAAAATAATTATAATAAAATAATAAAATTTTCAAAGGTTCCAACGAACCGCATTCAATTTTAATTTTTTGCATAAAATATTTTTTTTGTTTTGAATTTTTTATCACGATTATAAATTTAAAAAATTACTTATATAATTAAATTTTAAATAATTTATAAAAATAATTACTTTTATTTTCAATTTAGTTGTCTTCCATTTTTTTTTTTTTTAGTAGACCACGTGACTTACGTTTGGGAATTAATTTAATGGCAGCAAAAAATAAAATTGTAACGTGATAATCCGTTAATTTTATTTATTTTTATAATTTAATTACAAAATAACAAATTATTTAATTCGAAATAAAAATAAAAATTTGATTTCGGAAAAACATATATATTCAAGCATTTTTAAAAAATTGATCTGCGTTCCGCCATTGCGCTCTCGTTCGTATCGTTGCTTTTGCGTAGTTTAAACGAACACGTTTAGTTTGGAATAAACTCAAATTCCAACAAGATGGTTAGTTATTTTTCATTTTTGTTTTTTTTATCTGTGCAATCTCTTTTTCACATTTAATATTTTTTGTTCATTTTGATACAGTTTGAATTTGAAATAGTATCAATTATGAATTTTATATGTTTCGAAGTGTTAAAACATTTTTTAATTACATTTATTACATGAAAAATATTTTTGTTGGCAGGGTAAAGTTAAATGTTCAGAATTGCGAACAAAAGATAAAAAAGATCTTCTAAAACAATTAGAAGAGCTTAAAACCGAATTAACAAGTCTTCGGGTAGCTAAAGTTACTGGTGGAGCTGCATCCAAGCTATCCAAAATGTAGGTTTTATATAAAATGTTTGGCTTAAAAATTCTAACCTCAAAATTAATGGGGCATAATTTAGTACACTTATTCACATTTTATAAAAAAATAAAACTCAGTAATAGTGTAGATTGTGATTGTGTATTTTGTGATTTTTATTTATTATTAATAATTTACTTTGCTTTTTTTTAAAACAATCATTTATTTGACAAATTTATTATGTATTTGCAGAAGAGTTGTCAGGAAAGCCATCGCTAGGGTTTACATTGTTATGCACCAGAAGCAAAAGGAAAATCTTCGTAAATTTTACAGAACCAAGAAATTCAAACCTTTGGATCTCAGGCCAAAGAAAACCAGAGCCCTAAGAAGGAAATTGTCAAAAAGCGAGAGGAATATCAAAACTAGAAAAGCTCACAGGAAGTTATGTGCTTTTCCTCCAAGAGTTTATGCTGTTAAAGCATAGGTTTGATTATTTTTTTTAAAAATAAATATTCTTTTCAAGCTCTAATATCTTCTTTTAATTATAACACCTTAATCATATCACACACAATCCTGAATGTTTTATCAAAACATTCATTTCATTTGAATTTACTCGAACATTTATGTTACATTTTCTTTTTCTATACTTTACTAACATTTCTGAACTTATTCTTTTACTTAAGTGCTGTACAATTACTAACAAAAGTAATTTCCAATTCATTATATACTTATTCTTAAAAAGCAATTACTCGATTTTCAGTTTTGCCCATTTTTAAAAATCTTTCATTCACTCGTAAGAAAATAATAAAATTTTTTTGATATTGACAATGCGAATGAGGGCATAAATAAAACAAAATAAGTAAAAATCAATAATTAATTTTTTTTTTTTGCACAATTTTCAATTTTTATTTATGTTAATCCATTTTTTTTTTTGTTTTTAATTTCTCTTCTCATTTAATCCAATTATCTGATTTGTAATAAATTTAATTAAGGGCCTTAAAATTGAATAATTATCGAAAGGTGGCACAATGGATTATTGTTATTTATGACCAATTATAAGAAACGCGTTTTCATTTCTCCATAACTCATTGATATGTTTTTTATTACTCTATTATTATTATTATTATTATTATTATTATTATTATTATTATTATTATTACTTCCAATACTTTTTGTTCGTATGTAATTGATAACTCTTTGCAGCACACATTTTATTATTACCAGGGAAAAATTATTATTATTATTCATGACAATTCCATGAAATAAAAATCAATTAACTACGAATTTCATTCCATTAGTAGTAATAATAATAATAATAATGATTTCATATTGAATATTTCTGGAAAAAATTTTTCAATAAGAGAATGTAATAATAATAATAATTCGTTCGTTACTATTAATTTTTTTCTTTTTTTAATAACTAATGAATCGAATGATTTTTTTATTAAAAAAAAAAAAAAATAATAATGATAATAATTTTTTTTTTCTTTTCATTTCATTTGAAAAAATTCGGGGGGGGGGGGGAAATAAACGATTGATTTCTTAAAAATAATAATAATAATAATAATAATTGATGATGTAGAAATGATTGAATTTTTATTATTTTCACTTACGATTTTTTTTTTTTTTAAACAATATTAATAATAATAATGATAAATAAAATTAAAGGGAGGGGAGGGGAGGGGGAAAAACAATTTCAAAACTGGAAAAACTATATTTAATATGTACGCGACTGTGCACGTACGTGGTAATAGACATAATCAAAGATTTAAAAGGATTGAAAAGCTTTCGAAAAACAAAAAAAAATTTATTTTCAATAAGAATTTCATTTTAAAAAAAATTTCCCCCCTTTTTTCGTTTATACTTAAAGGTAATAAGTAATTAATTTTTTTTTTTTTTTGTATTTTAAGCTAAAAGTTATGAAAAAAAAAAATTCTCATCGAGATTTCAATGTCGATTACTTATAAAAAAAAAACTCGAAAAAAATCGAATTTCGAGAAGTAAAAAAAAAAAAAAAAAAATTTTTTTTAAAAAAAAATAAGTTTGTTTTTTTGTTTTTATGTATTAAAAAATAGAAACAAACAAGCAAACAAACAAAAAACAAAATTGAAAGTACGTATATACGAATATTAAATAAATCATCGTGTACTTAAAGAAAATTGGGTTGTTTTTACGATAGTGACGCGATAAACAACAACAACACATACGAGGAAGATTCATAAAGAATTTTTTTTTCCTTCCTTTTTTTCCTTTTTCTTTCTTCCATTTTTCCTTTTTTTTTTTTTGAAAAAAATACGTTATGACACTCCTGACATGTGCGATTTTTCTTATTTACGCGATGCGAATAAAAAAAGGAAAAAAAAAATTATTAAAAATTCGATAGCCAAAAAAAAAACAATTTCTTAAGGAAAAAAAGCAGACGACGTCGCAAAAAAAGTAATAATAATAATAATAATAATATTTTCTTTTAAATAATGATGATACGTCCCCAAAGATATTGTAAACCTTATAGTTATCTTATCATTCAAAATTTTAACTCTCGTGCCATTATATAGACTATAATTCCAAAAAAAGTTTTAATTATTATGACGTCACAAAATTTTAAAATATTTTTTGATTAACCCTCGAGGATAAAATAAAACTTAAAGTATTGTATGCATATAGTCTTTTACGCGAAGAGTTAAAGTTTATGGTAAAAATGAATAAAATTTATTATTATTATTATTTTTTTTATTTTCTACAAGTATTTTCAAAAGAATCCGATAATTTTTTTTTTTTTTTTTTGTTGACGACAAACGTTGACGTCATTTATTTAAATCCTACGCTTTAATGTTAAATTTTTATTTTATTTTTTCTTTTTCTTTTAAAAATTTATAGACTATAAACAAAAAAAAAAGAAAATTTTTTTATTTTATATTTTTAATACATTATTCGACTATAACAAAATGAAATGACATTTTTTTTTTTTCTATTTATTCATTTTAAAACAATTATAAATTAAATGAATTTTTAAAATTTGGATTTGTAATCAACTATATATAGTCTATTTATAGTCTATAAAAATTAAAAAAAAAAACGAAAATGAAATCAAAGTTTTTCCAAGTTGAAAAAAAAAAATTTTTTTTCCCTTTAATTTAAATAATTTTGATTATAAGAAAGAAATATAACCGCTTATATTTAGCTTATGATTTAAGTGGTTCAACTTATTCGTAAAAGTGATTAGATCGCTCGAGGGCGAGATATGACGATTTCAAAATGTCGGAAAATTTTTTTTTTTTTTTTTTGTTTTTCACAGTTTTAAATCAATGCCATATTAATTTTTTTGTAAAATTTTTCCAGTTAATAAGATTTAAGGCTTCTTTTTTTGGAATAATATTTAAAAATGAAGCATCTGGAGAACAACCTGAAACATTCAATTCCTGTCGTTTTCCCGCTGATGTTGGTAAGTTAAAATTTTCTTTTTTTTTTTTTTTTAAAAAGAAAATTAAAAAAAATCGAAATAACAAAAAAAAAATTTTTTTTTTTAATATTTGGCAAGTAAATCGTCGTTGAAAATTTTTTCTTGTCTTCTGCTATTTTTTTCTCGTCTTCTGCTTTTTTTTTGGCATTGTTTTTTTTTTCTTAAATGGCCGCGTTTAAAAAAATTTATTTTTTATTTAAAAAAAAAAAAGAAAAAGATTCATCGACAACAGCGGGTTGTTGACTGCTGACGGAAATAAAGCAGAAGACAAAAAAGAGGAAAAAAAAAAGAAAAATTGACATCGATGATTTAAATTTTAGTTTAGAAAAAAAAAAAAAATTTTTTTTTACAGGAAGTCGTTTTTACCTTTTTTCTTTTTTTTTTTTCAAGCTCGAATTGAAATCTTTTAAGTTCAACGTTCTTTCATTTCCACTTTTCCTTCTAGAATATTCTTTTAAATCTAATCCAAAAATAAAAAAACCCTTTTTTTTTCCCTCACACACGCACACCTACGTTCTTTAATTTTACTTTCGTTACCTTTTATTTTATTTTCTATCTCTCTCTCTCTCTCTCTCTCTGTTTACTTTTTTTCCTTATTTTTTTCAATCTGCCAAACTTCATCGTTTTTCCTTTTTTGTTTTATCTTTTTCCAGTCGTTTAAGAAAATCGTAGAATTTATTTATTTATTTATTTTTTTTTTCCGAAACGTCGTCCATATTAAAAAAGTTCCTGGAAAACAGAGGGAAAGAGAGAGAGAGAGACGGAGAGAAAAAATGTGTTTAATAGTTATTTTCGTTACCAAAAAGGTTTTCCCACGTTTTTTTTTCTTTTTTCGTCTTCTGCTTCTTCGTGTAGTTTTCAAATAGAATTCACTTTTTTTAGTTTTTTTTTTTTTTTTTGAATGTTGGTAGTCGTCATTAAAATTTTTCTTCTTATTTTTATTTAATTTCGAAAACTCTTCAATTTTAATTTTCGTCTTTTGTATTGAACTTTTACATAATTATCTTTTATCGTTTTTTTTTTTTCTCGAAATTAAAATTGCGACAGCATTTTGTCATTTGCTGTCGTTTGTTTTTAATCGTTCGCATACCGTAATTATTTCTATCATTATTATTATTATTATTATTAATTTAAAAATCGATTGTTAATAATGCGTTATCGTTTTATAATTTTTCTTTTTTCTTTTTTTTTGATTTTTTACATCGCTTAAATTTTTATTCACGTAAATTAAATGTAAAAATTTATTAATAATAATAATAATGATGATAATAATAATAATAATAATAATAAAATTACCGTAATTTAATAAGAGTAATAATAAATGAAAGAGAAAAAAAAAAGTTATTGAGCATTAAAGCAATTTTTTTTTTTTATGATTAATGATTTTTGATTTGTTTTATTATTTTTATTTTCTTTTTATTTTCGTGGGGAACCCGGGGGACGAGAGTTAAATAGCCGGGGGATATAGGATCAGTAGGGTTACGAGTTGGGGGGTATAATGGGGTCAAGGGTTACGGGTAATTGAATGGTGTAGTTTCAAATCAAGATTTTTTCAATTTTATTTTTTTCATTTTTTGTTTCCTTTTACGTTTTTCCTTTTTTCCTTTTTCCTTTTTTATTTTCACTTAATAACAACCTTACACAACAATATTTTTAAAAATTATTACTTTTTTTTTTTTTATTACTTCTTGTTTTTGTTTCTTTTTTCTTTTTTTGTTGCTGTTTCTGCTACTTTTTTTTTTTTAAAGCTCGTCCAGTTATTTCCAGTTCATTTCACCAAAAATTTCTTCGCTTTTTTTTTTTTTTTTTATATTTTTATCAATAAAATTTCTTTCACTTTCACTCTCACTCTCTCTCTCTTTTTCTCTCTTTTTCTCTCTCACTTGATTTCATTCAATTCATTTTACCTTTTAATTTCTTTCTTTTTTTTTCGTATGTACGAACGGTTGTTCGTTCTTTGTACGAGCGTCCATTTTTTTTTTTTTTATTTATATATATACTCTAACATTTATTTGATGTTTTTG